CACAAATTCTTAACATCAGAAGAAGAAGACTTTTATTGCCTTCTAAGTTGCCATTCATTCTACTTTTATGCTTCTTTAGTCTTTGTGACTAGCAGAAGAGAAAAACATCGACTATTTATTCTATACTAAAACAGATACTTCTAGCTTCAACAGAATACTTAGTTTGTTTTTTTTTTCCTCTTTTCTCTTTCAAAAAAAAAGAGCATTTTCTTATAATTCCTTTTCTTTTTTTCCTGAGACTATTAAGCTTATCTCTTCGGTTCTTTATACACAGTGATAGCTAATTTACGGAAGATAACCTTTTATAAAAATGATTATTTTAGAGTAATTTCCGAGTTGTAACGTAAATATTTTGAGAAGATAACACGAAAAATCATTTCAGAAATTTAATATTTCACTTATTTTTTTATTACTTGTAATGTGTTTTATGATTTTAAAACAAGGGCGCTAACGATTACAAGAGGGTCAATCGATGATTGATGAATTTGTCCACTTAAAAATTCAATAACAATCGATAAATCTTTAAATTATAATTTATGTTTAATAGAAATACATTCAAACCTGTTAATAACGACCACTAACGAAGTATAAAAAGTAGTTTTTGTTTAGAAGTTATCGTCGTTTGGAGGTTATTTTCTATGCATTTTCTGATAAACGGCCGTTGTTTAGAGGTGTCCGTTATTAAAGGTTCGACCGTACATATGTATTATTGACTCTAATTTTTTTTTAAATTTCGTACTCTTTATAAGTGGTGAAGAACTTAAACATGATTTTCGAAACTAAGAAACGTTTTCTAAAATTTTAGAAAACGATTATAACATTTACTCACAATTGATTGGAAAATAAATGTTGTAATCATTTTTCTTTCTTTTTTTTTTTTATTGTTCGAAAATAGAATATAAGCATTTTGAATCATTCTTTCCCATGACATGGTTGGTGTCCCCTGATAATGACACTTCCCAGCAGTATACCAGGAAAGAGGAGGAAAACATTCTATTACAACAAAATATAAATTCGATTCAATTCTCAAGTGAATTTTATGTTTATAATATGAATAAGAATAGTTTGAAAGCATTGTTAACTTTAGTTTAAATACAGATTCAAAAACCATTCAGGGGGAAAAAATTTATAAAAAAAAATTTGATTTTTTTCCTATAAATATATGACTTATTTTTATGCTTATTTCAGTTGTTTTTTTTTCTTTATTATGTCTAGAATATATTTGTATGCCTAGTATAAAGGCAAATCAATTCTTTGAAGGACGATCGATTTCATATTTCTTTCTCAAACCAAGAACAAAAAACATATGAGCTTGCCTCACTAACTCTATAAGTAAGATATAGCGTCAAATAAAACACTATCCTTAGAATTTTATCAATAGATAAATTATTATCTTGATGATACCCTTCAGCGATATTGTTTTTTAATGTAATTTCAGTCTTTATATACGTAATTTTCAATATATCTAACAAGTTATATTGTTTACCGATATAATTATTGAGCCAACAATAATATTTTTAAAAATATGAGTTTATTGTTGTATAACAAATATAAGTTTTCTAAATAAAGTAAACTTTAGTAAACTAAATTTTACACTGTTACGAAATATAATAAACTGTACAGTACATATAATTAGCTGTGAAGTATTAGAACTGTTAGATATAAAAGATCATTTACAGAATTGCTATGTAAACAATTATACTTTTGAACAAATTTAATTAAATAATCGAGCTTCATCTTACAGTTCTTTCTAGTTCACATACAGTACTTGAACTAGAAGGAACTAAAGTAAAGTACAGATGTATGTGACTTAGAATAAACTACAATTAAGCGTTATATATATATGAATAAATTATAGAAAATTAATGTATATGTGAACTAGAATAAATTACAATTCTCTAGGTTATTATAATTAGCTAAATATTTATTTACTCCATTGATAAATGTGAAGTGTAATGATATAATGGAGAAGAGTAAATTATAAAGAGTAAAAACTTAAACAATTTCCTTACTTAATTTCATCAATAATGGAGGAAAAAAAAACTTAAAAAGAAAAAATATATCATTAAAACTCGAAGAAGAAATCTGGTATTATTTATTGGAAAAATGAAGTTAATATAAAAGTAATTAAGAGCAAAAAATCAAATTATCGAATACCTAAATGAAAAAAAAGCATCAAGTAAAATGGTTTTAATCTGCTTAGAAGAAATTACTTCTGTTAAAGAATTTTATACACTTCGAACAAGAACACCAATAAAAAAAAAGGTAAAATAAAAAAAAATAAATTAAATTTAAAAAAAAGGCATTTATAGTTGTAAAGGCTGAAAGAATTTCAATAGGATTCAATAACGGAGTAATTCATTCTGAAAGAAACCTTATTACCTAGTTAAAAAAAAAATTATATATAAATTATACTTAATTGAAATCAGGTTTAAGTAATTGGATAATACAAAAATTAAGTATATAAAATTTTATAAATTATATTTATTATTAACATAAAATGGAATTTATTATGTTACAATTTAATAATAATCAATTTTATGTGTAAATATTCAGAATAATTGAAGATAATTAAATGTGAAAGATAGAGAAAAAAAAATAGAATTTAATATATATTTATTTATTTATTCACAAATTCAAATAAACTTTCAATATATATATTTTTTCTTACTTGATAATTTAAATTGACAGTCTCCGAAGACAATACTTTTTTTTGTGTGTGTGTGTGTTTTGACTATTTTACAAAGTACTATTTTTCAAAAAATAGTCGACATAAGTGTATTCTGCATAATGATGCTTCGTTTGTTTTTATGCGACGAGGGATTTTAAGGAGTCTTTATGTGACGAGGGAATTTAAGAGAAATGCAGCCTTTTCCTTAGGGACGAAATCGTGTCAGAATTTGAAAACAACACATTACTTCCACTTTATTTGGCTGAACATTTGTTTCTTCAGTAAGAATGCGGACACGCCTCGGTTAGAAGGTTCTCATCTAGATTCTTTCTTCATAGTATCTTTTTGGCATGAACATCTAAAACTGTAACTTCTACACCTCGACTTAGTGTTACCCTCGAGGATATCTTCCACTACAGTTTTACATATTGAAGTCTTACGCTGACTTATATTTATAGAGTTTATTTTTTATTTTTTTCGAATATTTTCAGTGTAGTTTATATTTTAACTTTAGATATTAGATGATAAAAAAAATATTTAAACCATAAAAAGAAATATTCTTTTGCGGTGTTGTTAAATTCTTTGCGAATTAAATTTCTATTTTGAGATTTTTGCAATAGATATTTAGAATTTTTTGCTGTTAGATTCTACGATTTTTAGGATGGATTGATGGAATAAAACAACTCGATTTGCCAAACGGGTGCCTCCTAAGAGGAATTTCTTATGGGAAATTTGCCTCCTATTTAGTAAACACGTGAAAAAACCCAAAAAATTCTACATAGTCAGTCCGTTTAACCTTAGATCAACTACTGTTTTATCCATTCCATCACTAGTTGGCCCTCAATTTTAGAAATTTGAAATTTTGTGTGTGTGTCTTTGGGCCTTTTTATGGGTTCGGCCAGACTCATAATGGGGCAGGCGGGTGGTGAAAAATCGCTCCCACAGAGACATCTTAGACTGACACACCTTAATCGCTAGGTCATCCGTACAAAATTTTGTTTTAACTTCCGCCATTTTAGGAATTTCATAATTATTTTTATATTTTCTGAGTATTGAAACTATAATTTTCGGAATTTAAAATGATTTATTTTCTACATTTTATGAATTTTTATACAATAAAATTTTGTAATTTCTGCTGTTTTTTTTTGAGAGAGTTTTGATAACTTCCATTTAAATAAAAATAAAAAAAATAAATCAAAAATAAACAAAAAGATCAATATTTATGGTTTCTTCAATTTTAAATAAAATAAAATATAAACCTATGTTATTTTTCAATTATGTTTCAAAAAAATTACATAAATTTATGAAATTATTGAATTAAATTTAATTACCGAGCTATTAAAGTAAGAAAAACACACAATAATTCTGTTAGTTATATAATAACTGGATAATGTAATATATATATATATATTTTTTAAAAATAAATTTATGAAAATAAAACTTAAAATTTATTAATAACAATAAAAAATATAATGTCTTTTAAAACTTAATTTATTTTTAATGATCTTTTTAAGCTTATAAATCATATAAATTTCTATAGAATTGCAGATGAAATTTTATCTTATTTTTCCAATCTCTCTCTCTCTCTCTCTCTTTCTTTTCTTGGACTCATTAAAAAACAATTACAGAATTTTTGAACTATGTCAAAAACTTAAAACGAATTAAAATTCCTAAGTAAATTACGTTTAAAATCTTTTAAATTTTACTAAAATTTAATTGGTTATGATTTAAAGAAATTCGGTAAATTTAATTAGTTTTAAAAGCCGTTTAATTGAATTAAGTTTTAAAACCCGTATATATATATATTTTTAATTAAAAGATAGTAAATAGAATTCTTTATTTACTTTTATATATATAAAAATGTAAGTTTTATAATGTTTTAAATTTAAAAATTTGACTTTGTAAAGGGTGAATTGTTAGTTAAAGCAGCAGTAAAACAATTTTTTTTTTTTTTAAGACATGGTTTAGTACTTTGAAAAATCCTTCTTTTGTTTAACTTTTGACAAAGAAAGTTGTGTTCTTAATTTTTAATTGGATTTATTATAAGTGCTGCTTTTAAATCACTTTCGAATTTTATTTTTATATTTATTATTATTTTTTTTAATAATCTTTGTTTCTTTTAACATAAAAAAAATAGCGTACAGAAGATTAAGACATCAATAACTGTCAACATATGAATGTTAGTTGTTACTTAATATCTTTCCTTACTTATCGCTTATATTACTAAATCTTTTGTATTAAAATAAAAGATAAACTCCTACTTGTATCATAATAACAAAAATAATAGCATCTATAAAATTTAAAAATAATAATAAAGAAAAAAAATACTTGCAAACTTAATGAAAACAGCGCAGCAGGGAGAGAGAGAGATTCTTTCTTTTTTTTTTTTTCCTTTACTTTATGTCTGAAATGAATTTTTATTTAAATATTTATAAATAAAATACATTTACAATTTTTAAAATAAAAAATAAAACTATAATTTTTATAAAATACAGTAATAAATTAATCTTACCAATCTTCGATTCCTCACCCGTTTAAATCAATGCATTGTTTTATTAATGTTATTATTATTTTTTTAAATCTGTAATCAATAAATAAACGGATATTTTCTAACTATTTATTTACATTAGTCAACGTTAATGAGATTTTTTAATTATTTGTTAACTTACGTGAATTCTTTAATGAAGAGAGTAATCAAGTGATGTGCCAGGTTTATGTTCTTATCTGTAATGACCTGACATTATCTAGGATCGGTTCGTTGTCAGAGACATTTCTAACTAAATGAACCATCATTGAGTACAAGTTGCTTGTTTCAATGCACGGCAAAGATCATTAGAATTTCTAATTGGATTTTGTAACGAACGGTTCGACATAGTTACAGAAGGCGTTGTAACATTTTGTGAACAAAACCCCTGCCTTTTATACATGCGAACGTTTCATTCTACTTTATTGTATCAACAATTTCATAGGAATTGCCCTAAAAATTGATTACAAAAATACATAAATCTACGACATTTTTATTATCATTTCCAAATGGTACATTCATTATTTAGTTTTCATAATAAATGCATTAGAAAATTTATAAAAAAAAACACCTGTATTTATTACAGCCTGATTTCTTTTCTTTTCTTTTTTATTTGTTACTTAATAAACAAAAAAAAAGTTTATTTTATTTCGATGATTNTCACGTAAAAGAAATCTAAATATATTAGTTTATCTGGGTTATTATTATGGGTTAGTTGTCAAAAGCTTATAATAAAAAAGAAGTTCATCTTGACAGTTTTCTTACTTGATAATTTAAATTGACAGTCTCCGAAGACAATACTTTTTTTTGTGTGTGTGTGTGTTTTGACTATTTTACAAAGTACTATTTTTCAAAAAATAGTCGACATAAGTGTATTCTGCATAATGATGCTTCGTTTGTTTTTATGCGACGAGGGATTTTAAGGAGTCTTTATGTGACGAGGGAATTTAAGAGAAATGCAGCCTTTTCCTTAGGGACGAAATCGTGTCAGAATTTGAAAACAACACATTACTTCCACTTTATTTGGCTGAACATTTGTTTCTTCAGTAAGAATGCGGACACGCCTCGGTTAGAAGGTTCTCATCTAGATTCTTTCTTCATAGTATCTTTTTGGCATGAACATCTAAAACTGTAACTTCTACACCTCGACTTAGTGTTACCCTCGAGGATATCTTCCACTACAGTTTTACATATTGAAGTCTTACGCTGACTTATATTTATAGAGTTTATTTTTTATTTTTTTCGAATATTTTCAGTGTAGTTTATATTTTAACTTTAGATATTAGATGATAAAAAAAATATTTAAACCATAAAAAGAAATATTCTTTTGCGGTGTTGTTAAATTCTTTGCGAATTAAATTTCTATTTTGAGATTTTTGCAATAGATATTTAGAATTTTTTGCTGTTAGATTCTACGATTTTTAGGATGGATTGATGGAATAAAACAACTCGATTTGCCAAACGGGTGCCTCCTAAGAGGAATTTCTTATGGGAAATTTGCCTCCTATTTAGTAAACACGTGAAAAAACCCAAAAAATTCTACATAGTCAGTCCGTTTAACCTTAGATCAACTACTGTTTTATCCATTCCATCACTAGTTGGCCCTCAATTTTAGAAATTTGAAATTTTGTGTGTGTGTCTTTGGGCCTTTTTATGGGTTCGGCCAGACTCATAATGGGGCAGGCGGGTGGTGAAAAATCGCTCCCACAGAGACATCTTAGACTGACACACCTTAATCGCTAGGTCATCCGTACAAAATTTTGTTTTAACTTCCGCCATTTTAGGAATTTCATAATTATTTTTATATTTTCTGAGTATTGAAACTATAATTTTCGGAATTTAAAATGATTTATTTTCTACATTTTATGAATTTTTATACAATAAAATTTTGTAATTTCTGCTGTTTTTTTTTGAGAGAGTTTTGATAACTTCCATTTAAATAAAAATAAAAAAAATAAATCAAAAATAAACAAAAAGATCAATATTTATGGTTTCTTCAATTTTAAATAAAATAAAATATAAACCTATGTTATTTTTCAATTATGTTTCAAAAAAATTACATAAATTTATGAAATTATTGAATTAAATTTAATTACCGAGCTATTAAAGTAAGAAAAACACACAATAATTCTGTTAGTTATATAATAACTGGATAATGTAATATATATATATATATTTTTTAAAAATAAATTTATGAAAATAAAACTTAAAATTTATTAATAACAATAAAAAATATAATGTCTTTTAAAACTTAATTTATTTTTAATGATCTTTTTAAGCTTATAAATCATATAAATTTCTATAGAATTGCAGATGAAATTTTATCTTATTTTTCCAATCTCTCTCTCTCTCTCTCTCTTTCTTTTCTTGGACTCATTAAAAAACAATTACAGAATTTTTGAACTATGTCAAAAACTTAAAACGAATTAAAATTCCTAAGTAAATTACGTTTAAAATCTTTTAAATTTTACTAAAATTTAATTGGTTATGATTTAAAGAAATTCGGTAAATTTAATTAGTTTTAAAAGCCGTTTAATTGAATTAAGTTTTAAAACCCGTATATATATATATTTTTAATTAAAAGATAGTAAATAGAATTCTTTATTTACTTTTATATATATAAAAATGTAAGTTTTATAATGTTTTAAATTTAAAAATTTGACTTTGTAAAGGGTGAATTGTTAGTTAAAGCAGCAGTAAAACAATTTTTTTTTTTTTTAAGACATGGTTTAGTACTTTGAAAAATCCTTCTTTTGTTTAACTTTTGACAAAGAAAGTTGTGTTCTTAATTTTTAATTGGATTTATTATAAGTGCTGCTTTTAAATCACTTTCGAATTTTATTTTTATATTTATTATTATTTTTTTTAATAATCTTTGTTTCTTTTAACATAAAAAAAATAGCGTACAGAAGATTAAGACATCAATAACTGTCAACATATGAATGTTAGTTGTTACTTAATATCTTTCCTTACTTATCGCTTATATTACTAAATCTTTTGTATTAAAATAAAAGATAAACTCCTACTTGTATCATAATAACAAAAATAATAGCATCTATAAAATTTAAAAATAATAATAAAGAAAAAAAATACTTGCAAACTTAATGAAAACAGCGCAGCAGGGAGAGAGAGAGATTCTTTCTTTTTTTTTTTTTCCTTTACTTTATGTCTGANTATTTTTAAATCGTAACACCTAAACAAACAAAAACACTGTGTATAAGTTAAATTTTAAACTTTATTATTATTATTTTTTTAAATCTGTAATCAATAAATAAACGGATATTTTCTAACTATTTATTTACATTAGTCAACGTTAATGAGATTTTTTAATTATTTGTTAACTTACGTGAATTCTTTAATGAAGAGAGTAATCAAGTGATGTGCCAGGTTTATGTTCTTATCTGTAATGACCTGACATTATCTAGGATCGGTTCGTTGTCAGAGACATTTCTAACTAAATGAACCATCATTGAGTACAAGTTGCTTGTTTCAATGCACGGCAAAGATCATTAGAATTTCTAATTGGATTTTGTAACGAACGGTTCGACATAGTTACAGAAGGCGTTGTAACATTTTGTGAACAAAACCCCTGCCTTTTATACATGCGAACGTTTCATTCTACTTTATTGTATCAACAATTTCATAGGAATTGCCCTAAAAATTGATTACAAAAATACATAAATCTACGACATTTTTATTATCATTTCCAAATGGTACATTCATTATTTAGTTTTCATAATAAATGCATTAGAAAATTTATAAAAAAAAACACCTGTATTTATTACAGCCTGATTTCTTTTCTTTTCTTTTTTATTTGTTACTTAATAAACAAAAAAAAAGTTTATTTTATTTCGATGATTTTATTATATTATTGAATGCGTCCATTGAAAAACTGACTAGGAATACAATACTAATTTAATTTGAGTGTAATGTAAATACTTTTTTTCTCCCTGTTTGCACCTGCCATCTGAGAATTTTAGGTTTATCTAAACGTAATAAAGTTTCCTATTAGGAAAATAATAAAAAAATTCTTCCGTAAATATGTCTTTACTGAATTATTACTTAATTTGGTTTATTTTCTTTATCGTTTAAGAATTTTAAGAGGATTTAAATAATAGTAACATACATTAAAACCTTGTCTAAAACGGGAAAATTTCTTCGGAATGCGACTATTTTCTATAAAAATACCTGTTTAAAACGGAAACCATTGTGCGATTCCGGTTTACACAGGTTTTACAGTATTACATATAAATGATAAATATGTTATCCAACCAGGTATCTATGGTAGCCACACGTCCTAGAATTTCAAAGGATTATCCTAAACTATCCTTTATTAAAACGAGAAAAGTGGTAGCTTGTCTTTTATTATCATTTTTAATTAATGCCCATGTTTTGTAATAGTAGTAGCATATACCTATAGTTACATACTGTATTAATTCATATCCTTTCTCATAGAAAGCTACGGTTTGTCATTAATTCTCCTGAGAAGGGATGAAGTAAAAGTTGTAGAATGGATAGACTTAATCATTTTTAAATGTCTTTTAATCCAGCCGTAGAAATCTCTCATTAATTTTTACGAGTATAAGAAATAATCTACATATATTTACATTAAATTATAAATAACTACATACATTAATATATACATAAATACATTACACATAACTCTGTAAATACATTAATAGTAAACACGTTATTCAACCAGAAGAATTACCATAATTTATCTGGTTGGATAACACGTTTATTATTTATGTAAAAATACAGTAAAACCTGTGTAAGCCGGTATCACAACATGACGATTTCTTCGTTTAAACAGGTTGTGTTGTATTAAAAATATTTCAATAATACTTTACAGTTATAATAAATTATATATTATTTGTATCTTTTAAAGTTCTACTACACAATTAATTTAATAATCATTAATAAACTATTTATATAATAAAATCATAAACAAATGTGAATTAATTTGAAGTTGTTTACTTTAAAAATTACTAAATTAAACAACTAATTTATGAACTTAAATATATTATAAATCGAATTTCTAATTAAAAAAAAAGTATAAAACATTAATTTTATTTATAAATTAAAGTATAGAGAGATAGTTTTAATGAGTTGCTGAATTTACATTATTTTTAAATAATTTTTTTAAAAAATATTGTAAACAAATATAATTATATGCAAAGTATACTTAATGATAGTAACTTTTATTATACGTGTTGCAAGTATATTGTTTTTAAAAAGTAGTTTTACTCAAAGGAATACTTGACTTCTTCTAAATGCCTTTTTTTCCCCTTTCTTTTCCTTCACCGCTTCTAAGCGATGGTATAAATTTTTAAACAATGAACTTTTTTATTCTGATAGAACGTCAAGTCTCCGTTACTCTTCTCTATATCAACTCTTCCCAATGGAAAAAAAGAGAATCCTATATTCCTTCAGATGGGAATTCGTGCTTTTATAAAATGGAGGATTT